AGCAAAAGTTTCTTTTAAAAAATAAAAAATAAAAAATAAACTTAGTATTGAGAGAAAATCGGATTTATTGATATTTATAAAATAATAATAATAATATATATATATATATATATATATATATATATATATATATATATATATATATAATATATATATATATATATATATATATATATATATACATATTTATATAAATAAAAATAATAATAAATATATATATATATATATATATATATATATATATATATATATATATATATATATATACTATATATATATACATATATATATATATATATATATATATATATATATATATATAAATAAATAAATAAATATATATATATATATACATATATATATATATATATATATATATATATATATATATATATATATATATATATATATGTATATATATATATATATATATATATATATATATATATATATATATATATATATATATATATATATATATATATATATATATATATATATATATATATACATATTAGGGTGGTGCTTAAAACAACTTTTTTGAGAAAAACCTGCTGGTACCCCCCTAAATGTGTTTTATCTAATACAAAAACACTAGGTTTAAAATTTTTTTGAACAAAAATTATTTTTAGGGGTAGCTCAAGGCCCTCAAAAATTTGACGGGTCCCTAATATTTTGAAAAAAAAACTTTTTCTAAAGTATGTCAACCTGGTACTCAAAAGAAGCGATATTATATAAAAACTTCAAAAATAATAATCATTTTACATAAAAAACATGCCTAAAAAAAATTATTCTTAAAAAACCTGAAAATATTGACTTTTTTTATTTTCAGCTTAAAAACAATAGTTTTCATGCATTTATACCTGAAAAAATTATTTTTATAAAAAATTATTTTCATTTTTAAATTTTTTATATAATTTTGCTTATTTTGAGTACCAGGTTGACATACTTTAGAAAAAGTTTTTTTTTCAAAATATTAGGGACCCGTCAAATTTTTGAGGGCCTTGAGCTACCCCTAAAAGTATTTTTTGTTCAAAAAAATTTTAAACCTAGTGTTTTTGTATTAGATAAAACACATTTAGGGGGGTACCAGCAGGTTTTTCTCAAAAAAGTTGTTTTAAGCACCACCCTAATATATATATATATATATATATATATATATATATATATATATATATATATATATATATATATATATATATATATATATATATATATATATATATATATATATATATATATATATATATATATGTATATAATGAATATGTATGCATCATATAAACATTATAATATAATGTATAAATCATGTATATATAAATAATTATACATCAAATTAAATGAAACAACACAGTAACAAGGTGTCAACATACGTAATAATCTTAATAATTATTTATACAACCCATGATGAAAAAATCATAAAATGGAATGAAACAACACAGGAACAACAAAATATATACAATTTATTTATCCATTTACCTATTTCTACAGCCAAGATATTACAAATCTTTGCATATATATATATATATATATATATATATATATATATATATATATATATATATATATATATATATATATATATATATATATATATATATAAATTAATATGTATATATTAATTTATATATAACACAGACACACAAAAATATCAATACTATTCTATAAAACACAAAGTGAAAAGTCTTGGTGCAATTTTGATGTCTTTTGTTAAAATTCCCTTATTATACTTGTAACTTAGTTACTCTTTTTTTTAAATATTGTATCGATTATAGTTTAAAGATCATAGAGTATAGAATATAGAAAATTAAAAAATATCTTTAAACGATAAATAACTAAACAAAATAATAGTCTTAAAATAATCAACCAAAACAAGTAGACATATTTATATAACCGAGTTTGCGCATAATATTGTATGCGCTAAGTTGATAGTATTAATTTTTTTACTTATTTTTAAGGTAATTAGGACGTCTTATGTAGGTCTTAGCGACGTCAATAGGACGTCTAAATATTCAAGTCCTGATATCGTCTTTATATTAACGTCACAAGGACGTCCTAACAAAGACGTCTTTACCAGACGTCTTTAGGACGTCCTAATTTGGTCTGAGACGTCGCGACCTAGTTAAGACGTCCGTAAGACGTTTGATTCACGTCTGTGCCCGCTGGGTAACGTCACAAGGTCGTCCTAACAAAGACGCCTTTACCGGACGTCTTTAGGACGTCCTAATTTGGTCTGAGACGTCGGGACCTAGTTAAGACGTCCGTAAGATGTTTGATTGACATCTGTGCCCGCTGGGATGTTTTATCTAACAATTTAAATAATTTTTATCAGATATAAAATTATTAGTGATGTACCAATGAAAAGGGCTGATTGCAGCTAATAATAAGGTTTAATGTATGTGTATTAAGGTATTATATCAACATTAGGTTTATAATTTGCATATAATAAGCATAGACACCGGTGCCAATTAATTGATCAATCCTAATTGATTGGTTATTGTTAGCTTATGTTATTGTTAGGAGTTATATTTACAGTTTATTAGATTTAATAAGTAGATAAAACTTATTGTGTTTAGTTTAGAATTATCTATTTACTTCGTATTCTAGCTCAGAGTTATAAGTACACTTAGAGTTTATTAGACTAAATAAATAAAAAAACTTATTGTTTTTAGTTTAGAATTATCTATTTATTTCGTATTCTAGCTCAGAGTTATAAGTACACTTAGAGTTTATTAGACTAAATAAATAAAAAAAACTTATTGTGTTTAGTTTAGAATTATCTATTTATTTCGTATTCTAGCTCAGAGTTATAAGTACACTTAGAGTTTATTAGACTAAATAAATAAAAAAACTTGTTGTGTTTAGTTTAGAATAATTATATAGTATTCTAGCTTAGAGTTATAGTTACAGTTAGAGTTTAATCAATTAAATAAATGAAAAAGTTATTGCTTTTAGTTTAGAATTATTTACTAATTTTTTACTAATTAAGAGTTGTAATTTTTTACTAATTAATGTTTTTACTAATTTTTTACTAATTAAGGTTAGAGTTCCTTATAGAATAGTAAGAACTTATTGTATATTCATCCTGTAATACTATGTTTGGACCATGCTTGCTCTGTTTGGCATACTTTACTTAGATCAGTTTATTTTTAAAAAGAAAATAATATAACCTAAAGAATTTTTGGAGCACTTAGGAACAGTTATAGTTAACGGGTAAGACTTAATTGAATGACGAGTAACACAATAATGAATTTTAGTAGACAGCACAATATACGTACGTAACAACACAGCACAATATACGCACGTAACAACACAGCACAATATACGTACGTAACAACACAGCACAATATACGTACGTAAAAACACAGCACAATATACGTACGTAACAACACAGCACAATATACGTACGTAACAACACAGCACAATATACGTACGTAACAACACAGCACAATTAAAACGCTCTTTAGAGCAGCATCCAGTAAAGTATTTGTAATAACAAATAATGGTATTATTTAAGTTGTCAAAGCCCCATGAAAAGTTCTATGCTTTTAATCGATTTCTCTAGTTCTATAAAAATACCTAGTCTTCTGTCTTGTTCTTGTGCTAGAATAGAACTTTAAAAAGACCTTTAAAAATTAGCAGTTTTAATATAAATAGTCAATTGCGTTTCTTTTTTAAATATTAAATCATATAAAAATAATGTTACCAATGTTATTAAAAAATTTTCTCGTTTAACCCATCCCGTTCGCTATCCCAACCTTTTGCTTTTTAAATTTTCGCTCTTAAAAGTTTCGCTTTACAGACACCGAACCGAGGTAACTCCATTCTGAAGAAAAATCAAAATGTTTTAACAATATTTTATTCCAAAGAGAAGCTCCACAAAATGGAATGCTTGATTTTTCAAAATTAGTTTGAAAGAATGGTTGACGAATTAAGTTATTATTTCTTAAGTTGTATTTATTTTTATCTTTTAATGTATATAAATTATGTAAAGAAACTGAGTTGGAGTTTTACATTTGTATATAAAACAAAGAATATTAAAAACATTTAGCTGATATATATCAAGATTTTTTATTTCAAATACACGAGGCTTGGCATGAGTAAATCTTTAAAATTAATCAGACGAGCAACATGCTTTTGTTGACGATAAAGAGGCTTAAGTTTGGATTTATTAGCACTACACCAAGCAATATTTGCATAGTTTAAATGACAATGGATAAAGTATAATTGAGTTAAATTACATTTATTTAAAGCACTTCTAGCTTTATACAACATTCCTATACTTTTATTACACAAGAGTTCAATGTGATATTTCCAATTAAAGTTTTCGTTCCCAGCAAACATGTCAGCGTTGAATCAACGTTGAAAACCGGTCGCAAAAGATGTTGCGGAAACGTTGACAAAGTAATCGATTTTGCAAAGATATGTAACGTTGTTAAAGAGACGTTGATTAAACGTTGTAGCGTAACGTTGAAAAAACGTTACTAAAAGACGTTACAAAAATGTCTTAACTAAACGTTGAAAAAGCGTTACTTAAAAAGCGTTGCATAGGCGCCGCAACTTAACGTTGAAAAAACGTTACTTGAAAAGCGTTACTTTAACGTTGTTAAAGCTGTTGATTTTGCAAGGATTTGTAACGTTGGTAGTAAAACGTCGATTTAACGTGACTCAAAGACGTCGAGTAAAGGTTGAAATATAACGTTGAATCAACGCTCAAATGCGCTGGAGAAAATATCGCAAAATATTATTAAACGTGATTAAACTTGGTTATAATGTATATTGAATTTGCAAATAAAACAAAATTGTATGTTGAACTCTGCACTTGCAATATTTCTAAAGTCGATTTTTAATACAAATAGTAACATACAATGAAAAACATAAAAAATATACAATTTATTTATATAAAATTTACAATTTATAGATAAAAATATAAAGATCTTTTTTAAGATTTATGTGTGTGAGTGAATTTACAGGATTTATGTGTGTGAATAAAATTTATGTGTGTGAGTGGATTTACAGGATATCGTATCGATAAGCCAGGATATCATTGAGATACAGAACCTAAATCAAAAAATATAACTTGTATCATTATCAATCTGAAAGCAAATGTTTAAAAAATGTTATTGAATTAGCATGATTATTATTAAATTTAAAAAGTAAATATATATATATATATATATATATATATATATATATATATATATATATATATATATATATATATATATATATATATATATATATATATATATATATTATATGTATTGTGATTGTCGTAATAGCATAAATAAGTAATTGTTTTTAAAAATAACACGACGTTTTTTATTCTTGAAATGTTTTGTAGTAAAAAACTGGGGTTGATATTTGACTGGGTTCGAGGCCGGGTTTGATAAAATATAGCCGGGGCCAGGGCCGGGTTTGAGACCAGGCTGCATAAACATTGATACATCCTAAAGTATATTTTTTAAATTTAAAATTCATGCTATATTTTGTATATATATGAACATCATTGTGATCAACATGATCATCATAATCATCATAACCATCATCATCACCATCATCATCATCATCATCATAATCATCATGATCATCATTATCATCAACAGCATAAAAGCGGAAAGCTTGACAATGATAATAAAAATTATGTTGATGTTGTTGATCGTCATCATAATAATCATCATCATCTTTATTAAGGCACACTCTTCAAATTTTCTTACTTCTACCACAACCATTTTATACTGAAGCTGCTACCACTCTAAATGTTAATACCTGAATTACTTTAACTTTTTAAAAAAAAAAGGTTGTTTGATACAACGTTTTTTCTAATCTGTCTAAGATTATGCCTACTTTTTATATCTTGTTAGAGTCACACCACACATCCATCTGATCATTTTCTATTTCGGCAAATACTACACTATATAAATACTAAAGTTTATACAACAATGAAAGGATATTGTATGCCAGCATCTAAACAAATAGCAAACAAATATGCTTATATCCATAATATGTGTGCAAAAAGTGCATCTTGGAAGCTTATATTGCTTCTGGAATAAAAGTTTGGAAGCTTTTATTACTTCTCTTCAGTTTTAAATCAAGCCTCATTCTACTCTACATCTTTCAACATTAACTACGTTTTTCAGCTTTTTTTATAAGAACATCTCTCTTAAGAAAAAATTGTCCTTTTTGTTATTGCAATAAGTTAATGTATAAACAAAGTCTTGTCTGATGTAAATCTCTGTTATTCTATAATTACTATAATATGCTATAAAATAATAATAACAATAATAAATATATATATATAATATATATATATATATATATATACAGTAAATTTACGGTTATTCGAACTGGCACTTATTTAAATATTCTCTATATATATGCATATGTATATATATATATATATATATATATATATATATATATATATATATATATATATATATATATATATATATATATATATATATATATATATATATATATAAATATATATATATATATATATATATATATATAAATATATATATATACATATATATATATATATATATATATATATATATATATATATATATAAATTTTGCAACTAAAAATAGTCATGTATCCATACATTAATTAACCAAATAAAACTTACTTCTATAGGTGTAACTATAAATCATCAATTTAAATCATATTATGCACTTCGTTCATAAGATGCAAACCAGTTAAAACCAAATCATTCCTCGATCTTTGATCCACCAGAACTTTACTAAATAAATTTATACTGGTAATTAAACTACCACATGTCAAAAAATTTAGACAGTATTATTGAAATCAGGTTTGACCAATAGTTAATATTATATATTTTTTTATTCTTTACTATATAAAAAACAAAGAAAAGTTAAATCCGAAGAGAAACAAGATTATTCACAAACATAATTACTTACATTCTTCTTCGGAGTCCTCTTTAGTCGTGAAATTAAATCCTGCACATACTTCTTTATCTATTAGTAATTATTTAGTAAAATAAATATAAACAAAATTATGTAAAAACAGTTACTTTAACTCTTT